GAAAAAGTTCTATAAAAATGCTAACTTTTCTTACTTTGATTTATGTTGCCCATATACCTGCTTTCATAATAATGTTTATCTTTTTAAATGTCTAATTTTACAAATAAACATAGAAAATACCTATAGAGAAAATATTAATTTTGCCTTTACAGTTCTGAACTACTGCATGTTTACTCACCCAGAGTAAGTTACCAGTTTTTTTTTCTCTTTTATCACCTACAGGAGAGCCAGGGTTCACATTTTACAACTAAAGCATAGAAGGTACATAAAGAAAGAACCTAGCTGAATTTCACAGGATCTGTCACCAAGCAAAAAAAAAATATATATATATATATATATTATATATATTATATATGTATATGGTTTCACCCTTAGAAGACCCAACAGTCAAATGAAGTATCTGACTTTCTACCTCCGAAAATTCACTTCAAACCAATCAATAAGCATTTTCTGCATCATTATAATATAACTACACCATGTACCTCAAAATTCAAAGCAACATTTTTTGCAGGGGCTGGAAAGATCAGAAACAGAAATCAGGTAAAAGTCTGTGCCACACACTGGTCACTCAAGGATGAAGACTTGAAGAGGATTGTGAAAGTGAGAATGGACTTGAGGGGTGAATTCTGGAGATCAACAGAGAACAAAGTAGCAGAGCTTAGAAACATAGTCAATTCAGCATAAAGGAGAGGAACAAATTCAGTGTCATTACAGTAGCTTTAGTGCAGAGCTGACAACTCAATAAAAGAAGAAAAAACTGCCGAACTGAATGATAATCTAAATTAACTAGCAATCTAGCAGCCTCCTATTATGGCAGCCTGTATGTATTGTGCAGCTTGGGAAATGCTATTTCTTCACATGTTCAATAATTGTGATAGAAACAAAAAAGAATCCTTAAAAACAAAGCTCTCGTAAAACTACAGAAATTTTTATCTGCAGAGACTATGGCATGGTGAAAATCTCAGAAGCAATATTGCAAAAGCCTCAATTTATAAGAACTCAGATGGAAGAAATAACCAGATCCAGTGTCTAATTGTATCTTGAACAATTCTTGTCCTGTTATTTCATAAATGTTTGATTTTTACATCATCATCATAATACCACAAATGCATTAGTATTGTTGGCCCAGTTCCTAGACCAAAAAAAAATAATAATAAAAAGTGGGGAGGGAGTAGTATCAGATTAACTTGTAAACAGTATCTGATTCAAGACAAACAATTCACGTTAAAGCATTGACCACACTAACTAGGATACTGTTCAAATTCACCAGGTACTTTCATGAATGTTGGCTCCCTTCAGTTGTGGCAGAGGTGTCCTAAAACGACTTTTGCTTTAAAATGTCTCAAACCAGAACAAGAAAGACATGTTCCTTGGCAGTATCTGGAAAAAGTTACACCAACCAATGAAAATCAGAAAACAGAAAACCTGAAAACCTGTAAAATAACAACTGAAATGTTTTGCCACATATAATAAAATTGTATTAGTGATATACCACCTCCACCTGATTGCTTTTATCAAGGATTTATGAGAAAATAAGAAAGCTATGGCTAGATATTAAATGTTACTTATGAGTGTCCTTTGGACCTGACTTTAAATAACAAAGTTCATGAATTTTACAAACTTGACAAAAATCAAGAAAAACTCATACTGCATTTGTCTAGGAAAATTTCCAAATATGCAAGTACAATAGGCACTGAAGCCCACTTTCAAATTATAACTTTAAAATTTTCATGACAACCTAATAATATCACAGACCACCATCTTGTCAAGAACTATTAATTTCATGTTAAAGAGTTTAGTTATTACCCTAGTATTGAACTCATAGTATTGGATTACCCCTTAATTATAGAAGCTGTGAAATTAATTCTAGAGCAAAGAAGAAATGTGGGGAAAATTTAAATTGGTAGTTATAGTTCTTTTTTGGCTCACATACAGAATTCTTTTAAGAATCCATCACTTTAAGCATCTGGTTCCATCATCAATTTCCTTAATCATTTGTTGAAAGTTGGTGATTCCCAATTTAGGACGTCAGAGCCCTAAATTTTTTATTTTTTACTTCTCAAATGGTAGAGAGGACACAGTGATTAAACATTCAGATTATAGAATCAGATTGTCTGGGGTCTTGGGCAAAGCTCAAAAACCTCTCTTTGCCCTAGTTTCCCTTCCAAATAGGGTTGTCATAGAAATAGAGTATTGTGAAAATTATAATGTGCTTTTAAAGTGGGTTTGGTATGTGGCAGATGTAACTATTAATCTAGTTAGTTTCTGTCATGCTACAGAATCCACAGTATCTTGAAGCTACTACTATCTCCCCATGTTTGCAAAGCTTGAACATGCTGCAGTCCTAAATTCTGGGGACCAAAAAGGAACTTTGAAAAGGAAAAAGGACTCATGCACATGGACAACAGTGTGGTGAGTGCAAGGAGTAGGAGGGTATAAGGGGGATAAATGGTAATGGAAAAAAATACAATAAAATTTTTTTTAAATCTAAGTAATTTGGACTGAGATGGAGTATAAGTACTTATTTCTATTTCTCCCATTAGTACAGCTAAAACTTCTGGACACTGCATACAAAACATACACAAGGAGACTATGGGAAGTGCAAAAGAGATGACAAGCTCAGGCCCATGGGATCTGATGCGAACAACAGGGTTATAAGTTTCCTAAATTTTCCTTCTGCCTCACATATCCTTGACTGAGTCAGCATTATGTTCAAGGCACCCTGGGAACTAATATGTAAATGAGAAAGGTACAGTTGCATATTGTGGCTACAGATTTCAGCCTTTGTATACTTAATTCATTGCTCTGTTTGTGAACTTTCTGCTCACTCCAACTGGTTTTCTCCTTTTTGACTCCCATGAAAACAGTTTCTTTTTCATGGGAATCATGCCCAATTCAATATAAACTCTTCTCACTGTTCAACTGCAAGCATGACTCTGGCTTGTTTTGTTTTATTTCTGGTTTTCTTTTCACTTTCCCCACAAGGGTGAACAGTGTTGCAGTTATAACATCTTGAATCCCAATAAATACTGTTTACAACTACTGTTTAAAGCCCAAAGACAAGTCTTACCTTACTGTCACTACAAGATTCTTCTAATTGTCCATCATTCCACTTCCTACTTATGCATATGGGACTTAATTATTCAGAATATAATTATTCTTAATTATACAGATTTCACTGTATATGGATTCATCTCTTTCCAACATCTACTCAGAATCAACCTCACCTTCTATTCATTGTTCTAATTTTTCCTGCTTGATTTTTGGCCATTTACAGATAAAAATGATCAATGTTGCCTGTATGATAAGCCTGTATCTAAGACTTAGTAAGGTATACTCCCTCACTATTCCATTAAATTCTTATCTAGCTCATGAAGCCTCTGTCACACTTAAACTTGACCTTTGCTCTTCCTTCACTGACACATGCAGGTATGTGTGTATCTATATGAGTGTATATGTATGTGTATCTACTAAACTTTTAAGATATAAATAATTCATTTGTATACTATGCTTTATCTTGTGTTCCCTAATTATTTCATGTGTTTAAGTCTTGTCCACCAAATAAAATCACAACCTTATTGAGCAGAGGAAGTAAAACATACTTAGATTTTTCCTTCCACTATAAATATCATGGTGCTAAACACAAAATAGGTATTAATTTACTCATTCAGCTCCTGACAATTGAATCCCTACCAGGTAGCATGCTGAGGGCTAGGGATGAAGAGGGAAACAGAAGGCGGTGTCTCCCCATGAAGAGTTTCCTGAGGACTGTAAGGGGGCCACGGGAACACTTCACGGTGCGCATGGACAATTAAATCAGCGGTGTATTCAAGGCTTATGGGAGGAGAGAACAGAAGCACCTACCTCTGCCAAGGGAAAAATCAAAGAAAAATAATTAAACCTTAAGTAGAATCATGAAGGATACATAAAAATTTCCCAAGTAAACAAGAGGTAGAAATGGCATTCAGGAAACAGGGAACAGGAAGTGCAAATGAACAGAACCACGAATAAATGAGCAAGCAGCGGAACTGAGAAACTATTCATAGGCTGTGAGTACAGGGGTAGAAAGGGTATTGACAAGATTAGAATGGCAGGCAAAGATCTGATGAAGCTGAAAGGCCCTATACACCACAGGTCGTAATCTTGGAGGCATCTAAGGTCACTGAAAATAGAGTGGTAAGATCAGACATACCCTCAGCTGACAAGATGGGAGACAGTTTGGAAAGGGGGAAAATGAACAGATGTTTGGAAGCTATTTTAGAGCATAACTGAGAAATGATAAAGATCTGATCTAAGAGATGTAGGAATGGAATCATGATAATCGGAAGCATGGATGTAGACGAACACAATCAAACTGAGTGAGTAGAGAGAAGAGGCAAAGAAAGGGCTCTGAGCAACATCAACATTTAACATGAATCTTTACTGAAAGTCAGATCCAGGCTTAGTTCGAGAATAAATTAAATTTTTTTTCTATCTTTAAAACCCCGGTTCCCAATGTATAAACAAGAAGAAACAGGTCAAGAATAATATTTTAAAGTCTAAACTGGAAGCTGTGTTTATCTAGCTACTGATCTCGGACTGTCTTTCAAACACTAAGTGTTCCCAGGTAACAAAATTCCATCCCTCCTGCCCACCCCCAACCTGTCAAAGCGAAGGCTGCCAACATGCCTGTTCATCAGGTTTTCTTTTGAAAATGGGCACAAACAAAATTCACTTGAAGGCAGTAAATAAAGTCTATAATCACTCTCTCCGTTTGGCCTCTACGCCACCTGACATCTTGCCTTCACGAGTACCACCCTTTTCTCCCAACCCCCCACGAGAATTCAAATGGCTGAGTTAACACCTTAACTAGCTTTTATGTGATCTAGTTAGACTTATGGTGAGCTGCCTCAATATACGTTAACACACAAAATCATTTTATGGTTTTTCCCTAATACCAGTGATTTAATTTCCACGAGGTGTACCATCATGGCAAATCAGACTTGATTCAGAATACCAACCAGATAAATATGCTGCAGATATTTGTGGCACACGATGCTCTTGATGATTCAGACAAGGTACATCCAACTCTGTCGTCAGACAGAGTCACTCTCTTGACCACGCTGAAACCTGTAAAACAAAAGAAACAATAAATAAATACAAAAAAATTCAATGCAAGGCTCATATTACATTTTAATAAAAACAAAAAAAATACACACAAAACCTAAATCTTTCACTCTGCTACTGGAAGTAACATAGCTTTAGAAAGATAAGGCAACTTCTCTTTAAATCATGAGCCAATACTTATTTCGTGCACCGTGCCAACATCCTCTGAGCATCCTCTATGTCGACGCACTGTGCCTGTTCTGAGAAGCATATGAAATCTTGCACAGGCCTTCAAGTGAAGCGGCTGCCAGTAACTGAATGAGAACAGCACCTACCCGAAGGCCTCTCTCTCATCATCTAGTTCTCAGCTCTAACGTAGCTTCCAAGAACGCTATTCCCTAAACACTTTGGCTAATAAGACATCTCACTGAATTCCAGTCACTTTTCTCTCCCTTTGCCCTGTTTCATTTGTGTGTAACAAGCAGCTTTGTCTTGAGTTGTATCATTACTCTTCATTACTCCTTGTCCACAGGACATATGTCCCAAGAACCCTCAGTGGATGCCATAGAATACATATAATATACTATGGTTTTTTTATACAAACATACCCATGATAATGTTAAATTTACCAATTGGGCACAGTTAAGGGAATAACAACCATAACTAGTAATAAAATAGAACAACTATAGCAGTACACCAGGATAAAAGTTATATGAATGTAGTCTCTCTGATAACTCGGATGGCTACTTCTGATGAATGGGTGGGCAGTGTACACAGCACAAATACCCTGGGGCAAGAAATGGTTCACCTCCCAGGAGGGCCATTCTGGGACAGCAAGATATTTCCTCACAACACTCAGAACAGTGCGCAATTCAAAATGATAAATTATTTATTTCTAGTATTTTCCATTTAATATTTTTAAATTGCAGTTGACTGCAGACAAGTGAAATCAGGGAAAGCGAAATCTCAAACAAGGATAACTACTGCGCTTTGTGCAACTCCACAGCTGGACTCCGAGACTCAGTGGGGCTGGGCCCACCAGCCAGCCTCATGCGCCGCTTCATCTGCAGAGCCTGCCCTCGCACAGTGGGCATCGGGTGGTCTCTCAAGCGCTTCCAAATGAGCAAACGACCCAAACGTCAAAACTCTGTTCTAAATAAAACCCTAACAGGAAAGCATTTATGTAGTTGCGAGTTCACAAGATCCAGAAAGATGTATAACCCACACACTGACAAGCTTATATGAATAGATTTATTCAATTCAGCTTCTGTCCAGTGCCATGAATTCAGTGGCAGTGAAATGTTAACTGCCCTTGAAGTACATTTAAACTGTCTTCAAAATGAAGGAGAAACAAGAAAAGGAATATAAGAGGAAATAAAACTAATCTTCGTACTGAAAGAAACATGAATACCACTGTCAGGAATTCATAACGCAAACACTTTTTAAAATGTCATTCAAGTTTCAAGTTCCTATTTTTTCCTAAGAGTTACTGTGGTCATGAGAACATGCTGCATTAGGGTAGGTAATACAGAAACTGTGGTAGTCTATATAATTAGGCTCCTCTGGAGGTCAGCTGCATGTTCAGATCAAATAATGTGAGGGTTCTGTTTAGTACTGCTATAAAATGGAAAAGAAGAAAACTCAAACAAAAAGGCACACAGAATCTTGCAGTATCGTACTTTCAAAACATGTGATGGAATAAAGTTCCATTTTCAAAATCTATTTTCTTAAAGAACCCAGTATTAATTGCATGTTGATGTATAAAGCACACAAAGTTGCATTTCTCCACTTTGGATACCAGACTCTCAGTTCCTTAAGTATAGCCCATTGTATGAAATTCCCAGGTCAGGGGTGCAGTAGACAAATTAATTAGTCTATTAAGTCTCAGTCGTATCCTGGCACTGATGTTTAGGTTAGCACCTTCAGCAACAAGTTTCTAATGCTTAACTATGCTGCCATTTGTTCCTCAGAGAAATTAGGAATGAAGGGAAAAAAAGAAAACACGGCTGGGAAAAGTTCCCACTGACCTAAAAGCCGAAACATGCACGTGAGTCAGGGGTGGGTCGGTGTATTCATAAAAAGGAGAAAAACTCCAGTTGATTAGTTCTTGCTATTTTAAGTGATTAGGAGAAAAATAAATGGCTTCATATCTAAGGGAAATTTAAATAGCATTTAACACTCTACAAAATCAAACTTAAAAAAGATGATAATTTGCTATGACTTAGCACTAGAGAGAAACCAATGATCTCATATGACGAATCTCTGAAGCACTTCATGGGAAGATTAAACACTTTTGACTAAATATTTGTGGATGCTACAAATGACTGCAGTGAACCAAATCGCCTATTTGAAAAAACAGACATGTGAGAATGTGTGTGCATGCACATACTCGCACACACATGCCCACACACACCCCCACACAGAGAGAAGAGAGAGGGAGGGGAGGGGGAGAACTGTGGCTTATCTTTTATCTTACAGGCATTAGTTACTGCAGGGTGTTTCTAAAAGAACCACATACCGTTCACAGTTCAAAATTCAATAAAAGCAAAATTTGTTGATTATCATACAAAACAACAGAATACCTACACACTGGGTAGGGATTTTCTCTTTAAAATTTTCCTGTACTTTTGTTCAGGGAGTCATGATACAGTGAAACGCTTTCTTAGCATCAATGGCCCAGAAGAGTGTAGAGATTGGTAGGCTCTAATAGTTGTTTTGTGCGTAAGAATCAGGTGTTGAGGTTATCTCAAGAACAGTAATGAGAAATGACTAACTCAGTGTACAATGACACTGTTGTAACAGATATCTGGTACATATTAGGCAATCGCACCATGTTACAACCTTGATACACCCACACTAAAGTCATGTTCAAGTCCAGGCCATTTAAACTCCATCCAGAATGCTGGGCACTGACAAGGCAACCACAGTAATTATGTCTTACATTTTCTCCTGAATATCCTATTGTTTGGGCTCTATAAAAGCTTAAGGTCATCTGATTTTCCCCAAATGCAGTGCCATTAAATTGAGGATTATTAAAATTCTATTACATTTACTGGACTTTTTCTTCAGGAAATAATCCAATACACTGAAATAGAAAAAAATTAGAAAGAGATAAAATGATAATTTAATATGCCTTTAATAGCTAAAAACTAAAGCACTGTGCATGTCCAACAATAAGGAGATAGTTAAATAAATGCTCGTATAGTAGAGTATCAAGAAATCATTAAAAATCATGCTTTCAAAGAATAACTAATGGGATAGAAAATCTAGGGGCTGTGGTAGGCACAGAATGAAGAATTGTTAAATAAACTAAAATACAGCTTACAAAACCATATGCGTGTTTGATTCAAATTTTAATACATTTACATTATATAAAAATGTACTATATAATATGCACACTCATACCAAAAAAAGAAAAAAGACACCAAAATATACAGAGGTTTCCTTTAAGCAGAACTAAACACAATTTAGATTATAAACACATAGCTTTTACAGTTAGAAATGAAGTGACTGTAGCTATGACAGTACTGTGAGTCCAGTGATGCTCCTTGTGAATCAGAACCTTCTGAGTGACATACTTAACCACTTGCGTTGACCCCCAACTCTAGCTCAGTCCAGCAAATGGGATAACCTCCAATACTATCTTTGCCCCAGTTATGATTAACTCCTATTCTTAAACTGTTTCCTCTTAATATGTGCATTAATAAAATGACCACTTACCTGAGAAATACGTTGTACAAATACACAGTATTTCTTGATCTATGGCCCTGGAATTTCTCCTCTGAGGCCAAAACAAGGATGTGTGTGCGTGGATGTATTTGACAAACTCATCTACTGGTGATAAACTACCCTAAACCTTCTTTAATATGGCAATGGACATTTTACTATCTTTGCTGCAAAGAATTCCATCCTTCTGATTGACAGTTAAAATTTTCCCAAAAAATCTAATTTGAAAGTGAGTTTTTAAAATTGCATTTTGAATCAACACTACCAACTTTTTAAGTGTTTAAAAAGATACAGTTACTCCCCAGATTCTGCTTCTAAGATATAAATTATTTCTTAAGGAATGACACATATAATTTTTCCAATTCTACAAGAAGAGAAATCCAAATTTCCTTTTCTCTGATACATTTTTTATTTTTACCATTGACACTATTACAGATGTCTCCATTCCCCACCCTTTGCCCACCTCCTCCCAGCCCCCGACCCCCTTCCATGTGGCCATCACCACACTGTTAGCTGTGTCCACGGGCCATGCACATATGTTCTTTGGTTAATCCCTTCACCTTCTTTCATCCAGTCCCCCTCCTCTCTCCCCCGTGACAGCTGTCTGTTCCATGTATCCATGATTCTGCTTCTATTTTGTTCATCAGTTTATTTTGTTCATTAGATTCCACATACAAGTGAGATCATATGGTATTTGTCTTTCTCTATGACACAAATTATTTTATAGGCAAAGTCTATTCCAACCTATCTCTTACAGACAATGTTTTTGTACCATCGTCTGTGTCCCTTACGAGCATCTCTATGTGTAGTTTTCTTTCCATCACTATGAAATTAAAACAAATAGCACTTCTTTGTGCTATCTTTCTGTGATTACTATGGCAGTGACCTGAATTTTATACCTAAGTTAACCCTATTTGGGGTGGGAGAGAGAAGTATGGGACCAAAATAATAAAATAAATTAGGGCAATGGTCAGCACCTTTAAATATTTACTTTTTCCCTTGGAACAGCCTTTGGCCCAAATCTGTAAAACTCTGACCTGACCCTTCAGCTTCCATGTGTGGAAGTCTCAGCATTATGTTGTGAACACTGTGACAATGGCAAAATCAGCCCCCCTTCCCCCTGCTCTTAAGAAGCATTAAAATTCTATTTTTCACCATCCCCTGAATTTCCACCTGCCATGCTCCCCAAACACAGTCAGGCCCTGGTCCAAAGGTTCTAGTGACCAGACCACAGAAATACCATGTGGTGAGTGAAAGTCTCTGATGGAAAACAAATGAGGCAGGACACCTTGATGGCC